AGTGAACAGAAGAAAAATCCAAATCAAAACAATGTTTGGTCTGACCAGCCTTTCTCTTCCACACAGGATCAATTTTTATACTTGCACAAACTAAGGGATTTTGTAGGGTTAGAGTCAAATGTACGATTATACCAAGCAGGTACTAATGATCATCAGTTTCACATGGAGGTTGAAATATAGTCATAAACAGAAACAGCTTTGTAGGAGGCTTAAAACTGGGTGAGGAAAAGCAAAATTCTGCACTAAGGTGAGCTTGTGGAAGACAGCTTCATATCACAGGTCATACACATGGCAAAATTGAGAACAGGAACAAGACAAAGTTGTTATACTGCATCAGGAAAGTCTCCCCCAGGCAAAGATTTGAAAGAAGATTGGGGTTTCAAGATGTGCTGTTCAAGCTGTTTTGAAGAAGCACAAAGAAATGAGCAACATTGAGCATAGACACAGTAGTCAGCCAAGGAAAGTTAATGCAGCAGATGAAAGACACATCATACTTCCCTTCAACATTGGAAGAAGCCCAGCAGTGCTGGAAACAGAACTAGCGGAAACCAGCATGATTCCCATCCACTATTCAGAGAAGTCTGGCCAGAAGTGGTCTTCATGGAAGAATTGTGGCCAAAAAGCCATACCTACGATGTGGAAACAAGGCTAAGCAATTCAACTATGCGCAAAAACATAGGTACTGGGGTGGGGAAAAGGAGCAGGAAGAAGGACCACTAACCTGGCACTAGACACAGTTTCAGAGGATACCTTGAAAGAGCACAGCAATCCAGGGCTGGAAGGGACCTGGAGGTCATCTAGTCCAACCCCCTGCTCCAGCAGGACACTGTTAAAGTGAGTTTCTGTCTTTTGACACACACCCTCCCGTCACATGACTACATAGCCACCAAATTGATTCTTTGTTTCCTAGGGATCCAGTTAGAGAATAGTTTTAAAAAGTCCAATTGGAGAATAGTTTAAAAGTTCCTTGGTGCTTCTGAGCTTTGTTGTTAACTTGCAGACAATCAGAGAATAGTTTGATTGTAAAGATCTGTTGAAAGAAATGTCCTTTTGGGTTCAGCTCCAAGTGGGGAAGAAGACACTGGAGACATGGAGGCTGCTTGGAA